ATCTATATATATATNTATNTATATATATATACCAGTTTGCTCCGGAGATAAAAATTGTAGAAAAGGTTCGTTTTTTTCCTTTTACTTAAAAGAAATTTGAAACTTGAAAGTCGCTGTCGGAAGCAAAAAGGGTGCGGAAGCCGGAAAGGGGTGGATTAAAATAATAACAATAACATTCTGATTCTGGGGTATGAACTACACGTAGTAGTAAGTAGCCTCTTACTATTAATACTACTTACTATGTATGTAGAACTTTTTAGTTTTTATTTCTACCAGAATACTCAGTATAGAAATATCCCAATGAGTAATGAGCTATATATCTGACTGTCCGTAAACAACTAAACATTAAACGTGACCTACGAATCTACTTCAGAAATTGCCACAAAAATGAAAAATATGTTGTAATTGGCCTCTACTAGACAGACTCTACTCTAGAGATTAGAGAGAGTCTCTCCCGTCTACTTCTCTACTATGTACATATATGCAGTTAGAAGTAGTATCTACTTATTAGAGAGAGTAGTACACACAGTGACAGAGAGAGAGAGGGAAGTTGGCAAAATGGCATTTGGCTGGCTATGAATAATTGAATTTGGATGTTCCCTGTTCCTGAATGATGAAGTTGATGTATATTTTTTTATCACAAAACTGAAAACTCCCACCCAAAAGCAAAAAGAATCAATTTGAAGCGAGAAGGCGACGAGTCGAAGACACCAAACTGACCAAAATCCAAACTTGAAGAGTAGTGAGAAAAACCGAAACGAAGGAGAATTCAAAAATCAGTATGCAGTTCAAATGAAAGAGTAAATAGTATGCACTACAGCACTATACAATATATTAAATTTAAAATAAAAAAACATAAACATATGCAGGGTATAAATAAAGCATCAAAGGTTCTGAGAGAGGAATTTTTCAAAGATAACAAGTTTCTGAAAAAAGACATAAAATTGATGCTCATTACTCTTAATATTACTCATTGGCTCGTCGTTCTATGGCTTTTTTAACATATTTTTTAGCACAAAGACGCTCTTCGTGTTGGTTGGTCATCAAAGAATGTCTAGATCCAAATTATATTTTGAATCGACATCTCAAATATTAATATTTAAAAACAAATGTGAAGCCGGACGATACCGAACAGCTTGAAATTCAGGATAGGGATTGGTTGGTGCATATACATAAATATACATATATATAATATATATATATATATACACATATAGACATATATAT